TAAAATTTAAAAAGTTGTCTTATTAAATGTTGATATATTAGAATATATAATAAATTTTTAAATTTATATATTAATATTTAATAAGATAAGATTTCAATTTTTAAATGTAAATTAGGACTCCAATTATTTTTGAAAGTCAGGATTAATACACACTAACCTTATATATATATTTATTTAAAAATTTAAAATTATGAGTTTTTTAAACTTGTACCTTAATAATGTATTTATTATATATTTTATTATTCATTTATATAAAAAGTTATGAAAATAAATTTAATTTTTAATATTAATGTGCCTGTGATTTTAATGATTATAAAACACATTTGAATTACTAATTTTTTTATATAAGTGTGTAGTTTATGACTTGAAAGCTGGGTAGAGTGAATGAACTTGGACTACACAAAAAATAAAAAAATAAAAAAAACAAAACAAAAAAAAACAAAAATGATGATATTGGTGTAAAGAGCTAGTTCTACAACCGACTCCGAGAAAGTGCAGAGAGCCAACTTTATAATTTTGCAGCCAGCTCTAGAGGGGGAAAATGTAAAGAGCCAGCATTGAAAGCTACAACTAGCTCTACGGGTGAAAAGTTCATACCTCTAGTTTGGCGAGCATGGAAAATGGATACAAAGCCTGTTATGACTTTGCAACTGGCTATGATAACGCCATTAATAGTCAATGGTCAAGTTCATTAAATATTTTTTTAATCTTTTGAAGTCAGATTTCTTAACTTGGCTTTGTGTTTTGCAACTGATTCAATAGAAAAACAGAAAGTGCAAATGAAGCAAAATAGCCAACTCTAGGTATGATAGCCAGCTCTGCATAACAGGATTTAAATGTATAGTTGGCACTACTGACAAAGTCTATAGCATTTTTTCTTAGCCTTAAATTGATATGCAGAATATTAAATGCAACATAACGGTTAGGAACGGCTATTTTTTACCAAAGAGGTATAAATATGATTGGTAAAAGCCTTAAAACTAGTTTTGGACATTCTTCATTGTATATCTCTCATTTACCAACTTGTGATTATTGTGCTTTAACTTGAGATTTTAATCATTGAGTGATCTTTACTTGTAATCCTCTACTTGTTTTCTTTGAAAGTTATCTTGTGGTTGTGATTATTTCTTCAAAAGTGATTTGTAGTGAGATTCAAAAGTGATTTGTAGTGAAGATTCTTAAGATTGTCTTGTAACGGGTGAGATTTGTGAAAAAACACATCTTCTTGTAAAGAGATTGAGTAACTTCTTTAAACCATTTTTGTTCATGTTAGTGGAGAGAGTGGAGAAAATCATTAGTGAGTGAAGCCCAGATAAAGAATTAGGTTCCAAGTGGTTAGATTGAATTTCTACAAAATCATTATGCAAATTTCTCTTCTCTACTCTCTTTGGTTTCTTGCTTTATGGTTGTAAAGAGGAAAAAAATTTTGACACTCCAATTCACCCCTCTCTTAAAATGCATTGAACCAACAAACAACTTAATTGAATAGTTAATAAAATTAAAATTAATTTTTTTATATGCAAATTATTGATAAATATGTACAATGTTTAACCTATACCTTAATAGAAAATTGATTTTTCTAACCTTTATTTTAAGGTTAAGGGTATAATTATTGTATTTTTTCAATATTAATTAATTTAAATAAAGTATAGTAATTATACAATTAATATATATTCTAAGGCAAAAATTAGAAAATTTCATAAAAGATTCCTAAAATTATATTAAAAAAATTGTAGAAAAATTATCCCCAGATCTTCACATCCCACATGAATCGTTGATTGATTAGACGGAGAAATAACAGGGTAAAGAATGCACAACCATGTGCGAACAACTTATTTTTAATTTTTATAATTATATTTATTATTAAATGAAAATAGTATAGAATAGATTATACTCTTAAAATTATTTTAAGAGTACTTATTCAAAAATTTATATTAATGCTAATTAATATTTTAAGACATATATTAATTCTAATTAATATTTTAAGACATATATTAATTCTAATTAATATTTTAAGACATGAATAGTTATAAATGAAAAGTTTTATTCATATAAATTATGCATGTGATTTAACACTTAATTCTTTAATCAAAGAAATTCTATTTATTAATATACATTTAATGGTATTAAATTTTTTATAATCAACAAAGTGATTAGGTCTACTAGAA